CCAGCCCCCCCGAAATGGGCCCCGAGGAATGGGACCCACACGAGAAAAAGCGGCTGGAAAAATTGTAGCCCATTGTTTTGGCATTGCCCCCGCCACAGCCACACACACAACCCGAAAATAACCCGAAATAAGCCTTGAAATGGGGGGATGGGACGGAATAGCTGGAATCCAAATTATCGGGGCATCTGTGAGAGTGGAGGCAGTTTTAAAGGGAGGGTGACACCAGGAAAATTGAGGTTTTTTTTGCCTTATTTTCGAAATAATCAGGCTAAAACTGTTGTTGGTACCGTTTTAAGATCTTCAAAAGGCCAAGGTGGTTTTGGGTGGTTAGAAAAGGAGCGCGACACCAGAAAAACTGCCGTTTCCGTCTGGTGAAAATGATGTCAGCACCCCCTTAAAATGAATTTCGAACGATTATGTACCTAAAATCTGCCTTTAAAAGGCTTGCGAACGTCGTTTTGCCATCTTCGTTAAAATTTGCGGCAAAAATCGAGTGTCAACATCCCTATAAAAGACACAAAACTCAAGAAAACCTCTGAAACCCCCAATTTCAAAGGTTCCAGCAAGTTCGATCATGTCACGCTCCCTTTAAACTCCTTTCAAACTCAATTACGCTACACTACCCTATACGATTCCATCAGTCTCTTAGCTCTTTCAACCTCCTTTTACAGGCCTCGTTCTCCGAAGACGGCAAGGGGCAGCTGAAGACGTTGTTGACCAGCCGGCCGCCATGCAAAACGAGGGCCATGAATCCGGTCGGACAGGTGAGTCGCCCTGGGGGATTTCAGTACGGGAGAGTACACCAGTACGCTAGAGTACGCGAGGGTACAATCCACACGTACATGACACTACCCGATTTGGCTACAAGGCCCTACCACCTGCCCACCCTGGAATCGGGGGCCTCGCATTTGTAATTACCTCTTACTAATTGCTAATTGCAATTTCGAGAGCTCCAAGCGGGGGGTAAATTGGGATATTTCTAAAATCGTATAGCCACTTTCAAGGTGGGCTAGCGGTATCTGAAGTCTAGAGAATATTTTTAAAGATACCTTGAAGGCATTTCGTGGGTTCAGGAGACCTGGTAGAATTTCATGGATTTCCGAGCAGAGAAAACTGTTTAGAGGCGCCGGGAAGGTAAGATTCTATGAATTTTTTGGTAGGGACAAAACTGATTAAAGGGGGCCTGAAAAGCAAAATCCTATGGATATGTGCCAAGGATATTATTTTAAACGCGTTAGCGGGCAAACTAGCAGAGATAATTGGGGTCTAAAGGGACCGGAAAAGTAGGATTCTGCAGATTTCGAGGCAGAAAAACGGCCATAAAGGCACCGGGGAAGTATTTCGACGCACCGGGATTTTCGATAAATAATTTGATTTTAAAAGCCATACGGGCAAACTAGCAGTGATACTTGGGGATTAAAGGCACTGGGAAGGCTGAATTTTCTATATCCCACTAGAAATTGCCTCTCAAAGGGCCGATGAAGGCAAGATCTATGAAATTCTAGGGCCAGGGCCAGAAAATCAGGCGCCTTGCAAGAATTAGTGAAAATTGTAGGGGAATTCAATTTTATGTTATTTTTGTTACAAATGCGACCTGTCGACACCTCTTTAAAATGTGTAGAAAAGAAACTAGATTTCTTAGAAGTTGATTTTTTATTTTGGATCAATGCTTCCACATTCTAGCTGTCAGCGTCCCTATAAAAACTCTTACTACGGTTCCAAACAGCTACTAAATACTATTCAAGGAGTTTTTTGTAGCCTTCCACCGCTGTCATTCCCCTTTAAAGATCAATGGTCTAGCCCCGAGGGGTTTTCGTGTTTTTTTGGGGGAAGACGTCCGAAAACGAGGCAGCCCATTCTAATGGCCATGGTGGCGTGTCTGTGTGGGGGTGGATGATGAGAGAAAGTGAGACAGAGAGAGGGGGAGAGAGAGAGAGCGAGAGAGAGAGAGAGAGAGAGAGAGAGAGAGAGAGAGAGACAAACCCAAATAGACAGTCAACAAAATTGGCCCCATCACAAGCCACCCGGCCCTTCTTTCGGCTTCTGGTGCTCCATTTTTTTTGAGGGGTCTGTCCGAAAAGCGAAAACCCGGGTGCTCCCATTAAGGAAAAGCCCCCGCTCTCTTAAGGCTGGGCCCTAAGAGAGGGCCCAAAAGAGAGGGCCCCTCAATTTTGAAACTCATTTATCCGGAAAGCCAGCCGCGAAGAGCCATTTTTCCGTATCTTTGCTAAAGCCAATGAAGGAACGGGGTCAGATGGGGGGAATTATAGGGCGATCTGGAAGTGCGAAAGTTGCGACGGGAAATAAGGGAAAAATAGGGTTAAAGGGATTAGGAAAGGAGATTCTTGGAACTTCAAAAATTACACTTTTGCTCGGCTAGGCGAGAGAGCGATAGAGAGTGCGAGAGTAAGAGAGAGAGAGAGTGAGAGAGAGAGAGAGCGAGAGACAGGCAAACAAAAGACAGACACACAAAACGGTCGTTGTTTTTCCAAAACAAAACGGAATGAATAGCAAATATGGCCTGGCCATATCCACTGACCAGTCTTCGAGTCCCCCAGGATCCTCTGGACGTCAGGAAAGTACAAAACGCGTCCATTTTCAGTTGGTGCTCTGTGTTTTCGGGTTCGCCGTCTCGTTGGCCATTTGCGTTTGGTTGGCATTTTTCTCTGGTAAGTCAAGGAGAGAGAGAGAGAGAGAGAGAGAACGAGGGAGGATGCGAGAGAGAGTCTCTTAAAGCCAATTTTTTAGGTGAGGGCTATTTCTGGAAGCGTATGGTCTTCGCATCCGGAGCAGCAGTTTGCTGCCTAATGTTCGCCCTACTGGCATACACCAGCAAGAAGCGAATAGATCAGTGGGTTCTTTCTTCTTTGGCGGTTCTAAAGGGACTTGAAAACGCGGAAACCGACCTTTCTGTCTACTAGGTCTCGACATATACGAAACTACAAGCACAATCTTTCCGTTTAGCCCGCAAGAACCGGAACCCCTCCCGGACCTCTCCCAGGATCGGCGGAGATCAACAATTGGTGGCCGGAGCAGTAAGAGGTCGATAGCCCATTCGGCAAGCGGGGATCATCATTCCGCTTCAGCGCAGCCAACGCAGGTAGGCAAACTCGTAGGGGTTTTTGAGGAGATCAGGGGTTACTAGTAGGACCCCAAGGGCAGCTAGCAGAGGTGTCCAGGGAAACACGGACACTTGGTCAAACTGCAGAAAGTAGCGCGGGAGGAAACTTCGCAGAGGTTCTTTGCGGAAAAGGAACCATAGTTCCAAGCCAGCTAGCAGAGATTTTTTGGGAAATTGAGGATTTTTCGGAGTTTTGAGGGCATCTGCGGCCTAGGAAAGCTAGCGGGGGTTTTCTGGAATAACTTAACGGTATTTTGGCCCAGCTCAGGTTTGCAACGCAATCCAGCAGCGATTCTTTGCGGAAAAACCGTCTTAGAATTTTCTACTACGTTCAAAGGCCAAGGCGAGCTACTTACTAATTTCTACTTTATGTAGGCAGGCTAGCAGAGATTCTTTGGGAACTTTTTAGCTCTTCCTAACGATATAGAATTTTATGAAGGCTAGCTAGCGGAGATTCTCGTGGAATTTTCCCTCCCTCCAATCCTGCTAAATCCGCACGATTCCAAATTACACTCCAAAAATCGTACTATTTTTTCCTAGGTTCTCGTCGTCCAGAACAAGGAGTAATCGCGCGCTTCAACAGCCCCACCAGCTGCCGGTCAACATTTTCGCAATTTTCGGATTGTTTTCGATTTTTCTGATTTTTGGAGTATTTTGAAGGCTTTCGTTTCTCGTTATTTGCCCTGATTTCCGCGTTATTTCCAAGACCACACATTAATGGGAGAGTTTCCACCATTACTATCCCCCACAACTTCTACTTGCCTTTTTGTACATATGGACTACGCGGTGCGCCATTCCAACCCATAAATTCTCAACAAATTATTCAAAATTCAAAAACTCGGTTTTTTTTTTTCTAATAAGGAGTGCTTTTTTTGAGTCATACGCAAATCATTTCCAAAGATAGTGCATTCGATAGAGAATTTCATTCTGAGTAACGCTATAAGGTTCATTTTTGCAGAATGGCCGTCCCCGATTTTATAAAATTAAAAAACTAAAACGGTTTTTTTCCTACATCCCTCGGCGCGCATCCATGGCAGGCATGGCTAGCCACCGGGACAAGGGGGGCCTAGATGGCCTCCCAACCACGATTGATGATAGCGCAGTCGGTAGTGCGGTTGTCTCCGAAACTTTTTTGGACTTCTCTGGGAGGTTCGATTCTTCCACGTGTAATTCCTTTTGCTTTTTGAATTTTTTATAGCGGTGAATGGCTTTTTGGCTTCAATTGATCTTTATGAGCTCCGCTCTATGAGCCGGCACGACTATAGTAAAATCCCGGTGAACAGTGACAAGACTCGGGCCTGGAGACTCCACTTTGATCAACTTTGAAGCGATTGTCAACTCAAAAACGCAAAAATAACATCCCTGGGTGGTTGGGTTGGGAGGCCATCTAGGCCCCCTTGTCCCGGTGGCTAGCCATGCCTGCCATGGATGCGCGCCGAGGGATGTAGGAAAAAAACCGTTTTAGTTTTTTAATTTTATAAAATCGGGGACGGCCATTCTGCAAAAATGAACCTTATAGCGTTACTCAGAATGAAATTCTCTATCGAATGCACTATCTTTGGAAATGATTTGCGTATGACTCAAAAAAAGCACTCCTTATAAGTCTTTTGCTACATTTTTTGTCATCCTCCCACCTTACTCTAGTCGGCTTCTCGTGATTATAATTATTCATGGATTATTATGCGGATTTTGTACTCTTTTTGGAATAAATATTTTTGAAAACGATTTGTTTTAGTTCCTACATTTCTCAGAGTTCAATTTCCATTCAAAAAATTTACTAGAATTCCTTAGAAATTCTGTCCTTTTATCTGTGGCTTTTGATTATTTTTTTAGTATATTTCGGTTAAATAAAACAATAAAGTTAAGCAAAAAAAATTTAAAACCATTGGAAACGCACCTTGGCATCATCCACCGACGTGATAGCTAGCTGGGATTCTTGGATGATGTCCTGGACGTAGGTCAGTTTTTCGCTAAAAATAAACATAACGTCACCAATTTAGCATTTGAAGACACTAAAAATTAAATTCTTCTTTACTTACCGTACTCCCTCCAGCTCCTCCCCAATGGCCTCGCGCTCAGTGACTTCTTGCACGGAGATGAAGGCTTTTTCCTGAAGATAACGGGTTTAAAAAATTTTATTTATCTTTCTCTCGCTCTCTCTCTCACCCTCTCTCTGTCTGTCTCTCTCCCTCGCTCTTGTTCTCTCCCACTTCTCTCGCTCTGTTCCTTTCCTATCCCTGTCTCTCTCTCTCTCTCTCCCTCTCTCTCTCTCTCTCTCTCTCTCTCTCTCCTTCTCTTTCTCACCCACCAGTGCACTGATCTGATCGAGGAGTCTATGTCTCTCATCAATCCTCCTCTCCAATTCCTCTTCCATCCTCTGCACGGCATTCTTCTCATTCACAATCCTCATCAGCCTCTTCTCCAGCGCTGTCCATTTTGCTTTAGCGGCTCTCGGATTGAAGATCTCCTTCCCGTTCCGCTGCACTCCTCTTCCCGGCGCATTTCTGGCAGCAGCTCCCGCAGCTCTTGCATTCTGACCTGCCACACGTTGCGCGTCGCGTTGCTGCTTGCGGAGTCGGTTGACCTGAAAGAATTCAAAGTTGACCAGAAAAATTTGTAAAATTATGATGCCTAAAGGCGTTGCGTTGGCCCTACGGAACTGACGCAAAACGTCCGCAGCGTGTCTAAAAATTTCCGTAAAATAACCTCATCAGTGGTCCGCTTCATAAAAGCTTCTCGCTGCTTGTCCTTCATCTCGAGTGTCTTGATCTGTCCGTCCTTCTTCCTGGCCTCCTTGTCGAGCGCGGCAATTTTCTTGGCGCTCTTCATCTGCTCCTGTTGTGACTTCTTGATGGCGTCGCGGATCTGCTTGACGAGGTCAACCTGAAAACCCAGGATTTTAAGATTTTTTTCGCCTCAAGAATTCCAGAATATGCATTCTAACGGAGCCAGGAAGCTTGGTGATGCCCTTTTGATTTACTAGGCCTGGACAAGTACGTAGAGCTCCAAAAAAAACACCCGAGACAAAATTTTTTTTGCCCGTGGGGTCACGTAATAGACGCTGAAACCTCGATTTAAGGCGTCATTTGAAGCGCTGCGTAGTTGTCTAGGCCTAGTCGAAAAGGGGGCCAATTTCGACACTTCCTAGTGCCTTTAATTGATCCAAAAATTAGGGAACAACAGTAATTACGTTGCAATCTTCCATTCCTGAAAACCCTACCTTGACCTTCTTCAGGTCCTTCAACTCGGACTGGTAGCGCGTCATTTGTTGTCGTTCGACCTCCTGGCGGGCCTGCATCCGCTTGTGCTCCCGTTCGATCATTTGCAGCTTTTTGAACTCGTTGCGCATGTCGGCCAGCTTGCGCTCGTAGTCCTCGCGGATTTGCTGAACGGAAGACATTGTACGGAGTTGTACTGCGGAAATCAGCCCAAAATCGGGTTTTAGCTTCGGCTTCATTAATTCCAAGCGGTTTTCTGGAGTTCGGAATCAAATGAGGAGAGAGGGAGAGAAAGCTAGAGAGAAAGCGAGAGAAAGACGGAGAGCGAGCAAGATAGAAAGAGAGCGAGAGAGAGAGAGAGAGAGAGAGAGAGAGAGAGAGAGAGTTAGCTCACCTTCTGCCTCTCCTCAGCCATCTTGTTCGCCCCTCCCTTCGTCGACATCTCAGCCAGCATCTTGTCGCGCTCCGCTTCAGTGGCTTTTATCCTGGTGCTCAGTTCAGTCAGCTTCTTCTCATAGGTCAGTCGAACTTCAGAGAGTCGGCGCTCAGACCGCTCGAGCTCGGAGATGAGTCTAAATTCAGGATTCCAATTTTCGAGGATTTTTTCCACCTTTCCTTGATGTTGATCTCGGTCTCGAGGTCGGCAAGATTTTCACGAAGGGCCGTTGTTGCCGGGCTCTCATCGTCTGGGAGGTCATCCTCATCGTCGCCGTCACCTACAGATTGGAAGTTAGGAGGCAATCTTGCAGAGATTCTTTGGGAATTGCCAGTTATTGGGGCTAGCTAGCGAAGATCCTTTAGGAATTAATGACATTGAGGGCAAACTAGCGGAGATCCTTTGGGAGCTTTTTTCCAATCTGACCTTGTCTAACTCTCTTTATAAGCTGCCCCAACTACCGTACCATCATCGCTGACGTCTTCTTCCGTGTTCTCGAGGGGAGAAGCGTAATCCGACGTCTCCTCGTTTGTTTGATCCTGGACGGTAGCCAATCGGTTCCTGAGTCGATCGATGTCGTTTCTGGCTTCTTCGATCAGCTGCTGGCCACCCGAATCGAACACCGAGGCTCCCATCGATTGGTGCATACCGCCGGACATCGCCTTAAAGATACGTATTAATTTTACGTAACCGGTTCTATCGAAATTTCTATTTGCGGCAAATTAAAACAGTACTACTAGACCATCCTACAGTACTCACCTGATTTTTCCACCTCGCGTTCTCCTTCCGTAGCTGCTCGGACGTGGCTTGTGCTTCGTAGAGCTGGGATCGGAGCTGGAATTTGTGAAAATACGCGGTATCCTGGTGTTTCCTACCTTCTCCACCTCATCCAAGTACCCACGGACCACAGATGCGAAGGCGTCGTCATTTTCTGGAGGGGAAAAATTTGGGAAGCTTGCAAAATATACCTTTATCACCCGAAAGCACCACGCCGACCTTCGCGCAGTCGACTTTAGCCTGAAAATAATCAAATTTACATTTTTTTCGAGCAGGTTTGAAGGTTCTCAAGCTACAGTAATTATACTTGAATATTAATACAATTATTATTGAAATATAAACCTGTAACTCCACATTTCTGCCTCGCATAATCTCGTTTGTCTCCTGAAGGGCTTTGACGCGGAAGCGGAGTTGGTTGACTTCGGCCTGGAAGGAAAGGTAGTGAGAGAGAGAGAGCGAGAGAGAGATAGAGAGAGAGCGAGAGAGAGAGAGAGAGAGAGAGAAGACGAGGAAGAAAGGCTCAAGAAATCCACCGTAAGCATGATATTCTCGTGATATTGATCCGAGACGACTTCCATACCCTCGGCATCGACAGTACGACGGCCTAAAAATGAAGTGAAGATATTAAAAAAACATTAAGTGAATCCAAAAATCTCTTTAACAACTGCATAAAAATATGCAAATTACCGTACCCTGCCGATACTCCAAGATCTCGGTCTCGAGCTGCGCAATTCGAGCTCGAAGTTCTCCGATGGCTTTGGAAGATTTATCTTGATTGGCGACGACCTGAAGAGTAAAATTAATTATTTTTTAAGTCATTAAAATATTATAAAATCCTATATTACCAGAATGAGCCTTTAAAAGGTTATATTAGGATTTAAAAACAAAAATTAAAGAATATAAAAATATCTGGAAAATCCTTACCTTATTCTTGATGTTCTTCGCCCGGTTCGCGTACTTCATCGTGTTCAGCGTTTCCACGAAATCGGAATCCGATGGCGAGACACATGCGATCATTAGTGTGCGGCTGGATGCGAAAAATTTAAAGAGCCTTTGAAGTGTTACCTATTTCCTCCCAGCGAATCTTGCAGCAATCGAGTGAGCTTCGAGTCTCGGTACGGTACATGTGACACCTTTCCACTAGCGCCACCAAGAGCCGAGATGACGTTGCCGAGGGCCAACTAAAAACGCATTAAAATACTGACAAATTCAGGAAAAATCGATTACGCCATGAAATTCTATCTCTATGGATTGCAAACAAAAAAACCTTTTTAAATTTTTTTATTTCAAAAAAATGGTATACATAAACGATTCGCAAACTACGCGATGTTTGCGTTAGTTTCAAGTTTTTCCGTTTAAAAGACCTAGGAAGGCTAGAATCCGTAGAAATCGCTTCCAAAAAATCAATAACTCAAAAAAAATATGTATGTGGTGTTTCCTCAAACGTAAAATACGGTGTTTTGGCGCATCAATTAATCTTTTTCAGAAAATCCATGGAAGCTAGCCTTCCTAGTTCCTTTGACTTTTCAAAAACTACGCAACGCACCAGTCCACAGTTGATCGAAATTCCCTCCTTGGCTCGATCTCCAGTGGCCCCGGTCCTTTTCAGCCTCTCCGAGCCGGCCAAATCGACAAAATGGAATTTTGCCGTCAGGATTTCGAGCTCCGTCTCTCCAGCTGATGCGGATTCTGAAAAATTGCGTTTGTTTTTATTCATTAAAATAACAGTTACCGCCTTGTAGTGCCACTCTCTGTTGCCGAATTGTCATCGTGAAAATGGCATGGGATCTGGAGGATTGTTCGTTCATGTTGGTGGCGGCAACCGTTCGATTCAGGGCTCCGTTTTTCAGGATTTCGAGGGTCTGAAAAATTGAGGGTACTTGAAAAACAGGACAACTTTAAAAGGTTCTTTAGGATTTCCGGGGGAGTATTTCCGGGGAAGCCAAATTTTGTCCTGCTTTTCCCGGTTGACCTAGTAATCAAATATAAAGTGTTTTCACATTGTTTTTAGTAAATTTGAACTATATTTAAAGTAGAAAAACCTTTCAAAAAAGGTTAGCAAAATGTTTGTAAAAGTCGAAAATTTAATCATTTTGGGTCTTTCCCCCGCGCTAATCCTAAAGGTTCTATAAGATTTTTCGACCTAAAATTAAATTTTTTATTTAAAATGTGGGTAGTTTTTATGCTCAAGAATAGCTAAAAACCATTTAGAAACGCATGTGCTATTTAGAAAAAAATTTAGGCTTGGGCCGAAATTTGGTTTCCCCCGAAATACTAAAGAACCCTGTAAAAGGAAATTCAAATAATAAGAATCCTAGTAAAGGTAAAAAAACGTTTTGAGCGAAAACTCGAAAAAAGTTGATTTTCACCTGATGAGCGTCCGATACAAGCCTCGTCGCGCATCCATGGAGGTAGATCTCGCCTTTTTGCACGTCCTAAGACAAGATCGTATATTTGAAATTTGCTACGTATAAATAGGCACAGAGAAGCTGTAGTTTAATGGCCCTCAATGTTGGAAACCCTACTTCTCGAATTCCAATATTTGCCGAAGAGCTCCGGTCGTCAGAGAGGAGATCGAGAATTTCCTCGTTGTAAAGCTAAAACAAAGCTAAAATTGCTAGCAAATTAACGTTATTAAAAGTCATTCTTAAAAGCACCCAAATTTGCGTTTGTTAATTTTCCTATTAACTCTTGACAAACCTCAATGAACTGCACGGAAACGTCAAAAGTTGGCGGAACAATTCCTTTATCCGCCGCTTCACCGCGAAGTTCGGCAATTCGCCGGAAGACGTGGTGGACGGCGCGGGGGACGACACCAATCTGAAGTTACTCATTCTCGCTCTTTGTTTCTCTCCCTCCCCCCCTCCCCCCGTCCTCCCTTGCCCCCCACCCCCCCCCTCCCCTTCCCCCCCCCCCCCCCACTCTCTCTCCCACTCTCTCTCTCTCTCTCTCTCTCTCTCTCTCTCTCACCACCGATAAAACCTTACCAGCTCATCCGGCACATTTCCGGAGTCAAAAGCCGTTCCCATAGTGTGCGTCTTGCCGGAGCCGGTCTACAAATAATTTTATGTTATAATTTGTTATGCAGAAAGTATATATCTTTAAAGGTATCAGTTTTTAAGGTATCCCCTGCCTTACTTACCTGTCCATAGGCCAGCACCGTAGCGTTGAACCCATCAAAGGTGCCTTCGACGAGTTTTTCGATGCATTTTTCATAGATTTCCATCTGGAAAAATCACATTTTCAACCATATCATCTGTTTTTGGCTCAAATACATTGTAAATTTGCATAGTAATAATATGTTTTTTACCTGCTGAGACTGTGTGTCGAAAACATTATCATAGGTGAAAGAGCGATCGCCGCCGATCGTTACCTAAAATTCTAGTTTTTAGAGAAAGAGAGAGAGAGAGAGAGAGAGAGAGAGAGAGTGGGAAAGTAAAAGAGCCGTACCTGTTGCTCATTTGGTATAACGTGGGTGCAGATCTTCGACCCGTCGAGCTTCTCCCGGTTGCCCTGGGGGCGGATCCTGAAAAAGGAATTCAGTGATTATTAGCTTTTTCTCTATTTTTTTTCTCGTTTTTCTGATTTTCAAGTTGTTTAGTTTTTCCATAAGAAGATGCTGTTTCTGACCTTGAACTACGGTACCGCCATAAAAGGCCCCAACCCCAAGCTAGCGCCCTAAAATTATGAGCGACCCCCGGTGACGTGGGGGGTTTACAACCGGAATTTGGCGCGGAGCGTAGGGTGTTTGGGTCTTTGGAGATGAATAATCTATGTATGCAAATAGGTCCTATCTCTATTTGGGTTGGTTTTAAAGGGCTTGCGACACCATGAAATTCATATCTCCGATTTCCGATTCGAGAAAATCGAAAATAACCTGTTAAGATCTTAAATTTGTCGCTGCCTTTCATAACTTTTAATGGCTAAAGTAATTTCGTATATAACTCCCGCATTAAATTTAATAAATTTGTCCAATCCAGTTTTTCCACGTTTTTCCCCGCCGTTTCCCGGATCAGCCATGCCCTCCTCGGGGTCGAAATCGGTGGATCCGGTTTACCCATGCCGTATCAGCCGGTTTGTGCATGCGCCTGTCACCCCCGAGATAAAATTAGCATAGCCACAAGGCCGTCCGGTGGAGCGTCGCGTAGTTTCAAATAATTTTCAAGCCAGAAAAATACGAAGACACTCCAAAAACGGGCTAAAATCTTTTTGTTCGTTTTTTTACAGAGATCGGGTACCGAATATCCTCCGAGGCTAGGCTTTGAAAGTGGTAGTGAAGCCAAAATCCACAAGAGACGGCTTTCTAAAGGGGTAGGTCTTTCTAAGCCAAAAATTCGCAAAAATATTTTCTTTCTGGCTTCCCAAAAAATTAGTAAAGACAGAAACGACAAGTTCCGACTTCTGAAAGGGTCGGTAAGCCAAATATCCGCTAAATTTATCTTTAAAGGTCACTTAAAGCCAAGATCCACAAATCTAGCGTTATCCTAGGCCCTATTTCCTACCCTTTTTCCTAAGCTGATCCCCTTGGTGGCTCCCTGAGAGTGGAAGAGTCTCAATATTTGGAGCGCGCGAGCCCCCCCCCCCAATCAAAGCAAATACTGTGGCCCCGGGGGCACGATCGGATGGGACGGAACGCCCGGAAGGTCGGAAGGTAGCGCTTCGGATTATCCGCTCGTTCGCGACTCCCTATCGTAAGCTGAAAAAAGCGGAAAATGACGAATCTAAGGACAAAAATGGAATTTTTTCTGAAGCGTTTTTCCCTAATTTCAGGGTGTTTAGGAGTCAGAGGCCTTAAAACGCTTTGCCAATCCCTTTAAATCCGGGTTGAATCTTCACCTCCGACCATCTGCCAGCCGTCCCGCACCCATTCGAGCTCTAACAATAAGCCCCCGGTGCCCAAGAATGACAAGTGACCCCCAGACAGCTAGCTGGCCCCAGTCTGGGTCAACCAAATCGATAAGCTTGGTCCCGTCATTGGGCTTGAGGATAATTAATGGGGATGGTAAGAGGATGAGGATGAGATGGTGAGCACGAGCTTGATATTCTACTAATAGTCTGAGCATGAGCCCAACCTCTATCTTTTCTCTCACGCTATCTCTCTCCCTCTTCACTCGCTCTCTCACTCTCTCTCTCTCTCTCTCTCTCTCTCTCTCTCTCTCTCTCTCTTTCTATCTTCCAATTCCCTTAAAAATTCGTGCCAATTAGCATCTAATGCCTTCTACAGTCATATGGTGGGGGACCCCATTCCGAAAGGGTACTAATTCCGGTCGGTGGCTCCCACCACCTGGCCCTATGAATTATCGGGGAGACCGAGTAGCTAGCTGGGAGGAAGGGAGGAAGGTCAGATCCGGTCGGGCGGGCTGTCCGATCGACGTATGTTGCAAAAAACACACAACACGGCCAGCCACAAGCTGCCGGCAGCCATTTTTCACCGCCGGTGTTGCCTAACAAAAAACATGGCTATTGAATGGCCCGACAGGCTGGAAAATTGGATGTGATGGAAAATCGGTCAAAAATAAATTAATTAATTGAAGGAAGAGAGAGAGAAAGAGACAGAGAGAGAGAGACATAGAGAGAGGGTGAGAAAGAAAGAAAAAGAGAGAAAGAGAGAGAGAGAGAGAGAGAGAGAGAGAGAGAGAGCTACAGCGAAAAACTCCAATTGATGAAATTCCGTAAGGCTACGAACCTGAGGGCCACCTGCACGGACGCGGCATCGGAGCGCGTGCTGCTAAGGAGATCCATTTACGACATGAAATCCTGAAAGACGTCAAAGTTTCAGAATTTTGTTAGTTTGCGAAATCAGGACACGTAAAAAAGAAATCAATAGATTTTTGGCATAAGAAAAATCCTAACCTTAAGAGGCGAGAGAACTTTTAAAGTAGGGTCGTTTACAGACATGGAAAGAGGCAGAAAAAGAGAAAGAGAGAGAGCGAGAGAGAGGGAGCGAGCGGGCGAGAGCGAAAAAAGCTGAAAATTAAATAATTACATACAAAACTTGACCTTGGCCTTTGAAACGTACCGGCTTGGCAGATGTAAGTATCGGATTCCGATTTGTGCGGATCCGGTTACCACCACCCACCCACCCACAAGCCCCTAACCCACACGCTAACCGCCCTTATGAAATGGGTTAGCAGGCAGGCCGCAACGAGGATGGCGAAGGAATAACATAAACTAAAGCCGTAAGAATGCCAACAATTAAAAATTCCGAGAAGGTAAAAAACCGACAGCCAAAATGCCGATAACTGAATGCCGAAAAACTAGAGGTCGCCAAGCCAAAATGCTGCCGGGAAAAGTTATAGCCAAAACTCCGACAATAACCGTAAATTCCGAGACGCCAAATGCCGAAAAGTGAGAGTACGCAAAACGCCTATAGACAAAATACCGACATGCAACGCCTAAATTCCAGAGAGAAGAAGTAAAGAGAGAGACAGGGGAGAGAGAGAGAGAGAGCGAGCTAGAGGGGATAGAGTGAGAGAGCGAGAGAGAGGGCTCGCGAGAGAGAGCGGGAGAGAGCGAGAGAGCGAGAGAGTGAGAAATCAGCATGCGCTGTTTCCTGACACGCAGTCAAAATTAGGCATTTTCAAGGCTCCTAAAGGCACGGTGACACCGGACACGATCTCGGTTTTCACGATTGTTAAAAATCCAGTTCATTAGCCCGGTTTTGCTTTATTTTCGGATTTCAAGCGCCTTGAAAAGCTGCCCCTTGTCCCCCAGGGCCCCTCAATTTGCATAGCGAAATTATTGCGAAAGGGCACTCGGTCAAGGCCACCCATACTGCTGTTGTTGCTGCTCTTTTCGCACTGCGACTCCTCCTAGCGGAAAATTTGACGCTCCCTGGCAAAAGGGGGACAGCACCCGAAAAACGGCTGTCCACCCAAAAGGCCGGCCGGTGGATTTTGAAAGAGCCTACCCGAGAATGGGTGGGTTTTGAAGGTTATTGGAATCGGGGGCGATGCATCCTTTCAGGTAAACAAAAAAGAGTAATTTTCTGGAAATAAATAGAATTAAAATGGGAAAAATCAGAGAGAACCAACTTGAGATCGAGCTCCACGATTTTCATGGCGTAATCGGTTTCTTAATTTGCCAAAAGTCCCAAAAACTGCGCGCGAGACAAATTTGGAGTTTGCAGCTGAAAATGACTGTTTTCTACTGGATTTTCTTACGGTCCTTTTTTACTAAAAAAATGATAAACTGTGATACTGATCGCACGAATCAAAAAAAAATTAAAGCGCGTTAAAAAAAAATTTAGAAAGTTGGCGTTCAAAATTGAGCATTATGACATGAAAATCGTCTGCTGTTCACCCTTATTTAACGTAAAATAATTATTTAAATTATTTAAAAATAGGATTCAGCAGCAATTTTTAGCAACATGAATTAGATACAGTCATTAATGCGTCAATTCGCTTAAAAAGATTAAAAAATTTCAGCTGAATTTTATATGGCAGCAAATTCCCTTTTTCGAATGCAATGCGGAACCACCGAAATTTGCACAAATAAATTTGGCAGGAAAATCGCTGGCTTTTTGAATACATATAATTACAGTAAGCTAAAAAATACAAAAAATATAAAATTAACAGTATTCAAATCCAATTTTGTAGCACTAAAAATATAGGGGCAAACCAGGGTTGAAAAGCCGCTTCGCGACTTTTCAACCCTGGCCCCGTTTGGACAAATGAAACTGTAAAATTTGCATAATTCAGCCTCATGAAGCTGACAGAAATGAAAAGATTTCCTTCCATCCCTTTTTATAGGCTTCTTCTACTTCCGGTATATGCTAATTGTTTCCTACCAAAGAGGGTTCTCGAAAATTTTAGAAAAACTTATTTTTAATATCGAAAATAGCTTATTTCGATAATTCTGTTATGCGTGCAGTCATCGCAGAGCCATTACGCACCTAATGATGTATCATACGCACCCTAATATTCATCCCCTATTGAGTTATCCTCCGGACATACAGACGGAAGTTGCATGCAAATCGACACACACACACAGACACAAATAGTAGGATTTTAGGTACCACCCAGAATTATGACATGAAAATCGGGCAGCCCGGCAAGAAAATGACGAGCGGGAAATGAGCAAGCATATGTTCCTCGTGCTCCTCCTCAAAGGCTGAGGAGCATGAGAAGAGGGCAGGCTGCGGCTGGCCGTGGGAAGGAGGGGGGGTCAACCTATCGGCCGGCCATTCATTCCGGGCAGACCGGCCTTCTCTCTGTCTCTTTCTCTTTCCGCTGGGCGCACATTTGTGTGGGCGGAGCCTGGGCGGTTGCAAAGAGCGCACAATATCCCGGGCTGCAAAGGACAGGGCGGGCAATCGCCTTACCGGGAAATAGGCCTTGGTTGCCTACACCTACTGACTGATTCACTCAAATATTTGCACGTGCCTGGGCGCCGCTTGGGCCGGAAACGAGAATAACTGCCGGCCGGGTTTGTATGTACGATTATTTGGGGTGGGATATCGATTTTGGTCTTCAACCAGCTAATCTCTATTACCGTCTTTTTATACTTTACAAATTATGGCTGTCAGCAATTCATTAGCGTCTGTCCTGTGTGGATTAAGTCGTTGCTTTGGTCTCTATATTAATGCTTACTTTGAAATCACGAATTCTAAAATTTGCGATTTGTCGCTGTTTGATAAATTACGACATCATAAGCTATTCTATTTTTGCTTTCAAAGCCACTCATTTTCAAAACAAAATCTAAAAATTGCGCATTTTTATGCTTGATAAATTACGGCATTTTAAGAGCGGCATAGTCGAGCGTATTATGTCATGTTTCTGGACTTATCGAAAAATTAAGTTTGCCGCCTGATAAACTCCCCCGCCCCCCTGGATAATGAGAGAACCCCCATCTTGACAAGATATTTCATTAGTGCGTCCACCTAATACATGTAAAAATTATCTGTTTTCCGAAATAATCCTATTCAAAAAAAGAGTCCCTTTCCTTTCATAATCCTTCCGTGTCAGCATTGCCCTTATCACATGTCAAGGAGAATTAACGAGCGACTATTTTTGGCAGGAAAGCTCCGTTTTTAATTTATTTAAACATTTTATCCATTAAGTTGTCCTTAAATAGTCATTTTAGTCTGCGAAAGAATCCCCGAAAATAGCCGCAATTCCATCTAAAGCCAACAGGCAATAAATCACACAAACGACCTTCTCGGACTTAAATACCTAACTATATTAATTCTAAGGTCAAGCTAAAAACTGATCACCACCCCTTGAACTCGCCCATTTTGTGCCCCCGTAATCTCCCGGCATTTCAATTTCCCAGATCACACCTCGGAAAAGCGCTCTCTGCTGTGTTTCAAAACCGCCGGGTCCACCCGCCGCTTTTGCATTTGCATTTCGAGAGCCCGGCTCCAAAAAAATGTGCGGAAGGAGTAAAAAGCTAGAGGAGCCGACGAGGGGCCCGAACTCGTCATAAAAGTATGGATTCTTGCCGTTTTCACAATGCCCCGGAACAGGCACCGCCCGAATCGGCCAATCAATCGAACCGGCCCGCCGGGAGGGGGCTCTGCCGGCCCAAAAACGGGAGAAACATCACCGCCCGGCGCTGATCGTCATGTTCCGCCTTTTCGGGCGGGTCGATGATGATCGATGGGGCATGAATTTAGCATTTTTGAAAAACTTGTCGTGGCTTTGCGCATTTTATCTGTCCAAACCTACGTTTTGCTCCCTTGGATATCCAAAAAACCCATGCCATCTTATTTTCTTGCATTTCCTTCTGCTTCCTCTACCTAAGGTTTCGTCTAATCCCTCCTGAAATCCGAAATGTCCGTTTTTAAACGTTCTGAAACGAGGTTATAACGTAGTGCATAGAGCGCAAGTAGTAAAAATGTGCAGAGAAGCCCCGCGTTTTAAATCCCTAGCTACGTCGGGCTCCTTTGAGCGCGTTAATACTATGCGGTCCTTGCTTTTTTGGTTGAAACATTTCATTTTACTTCCTTTCCTTCGTTTTTGCTGTACAAAAACTAAAAACCTCGATTCTATGGATTACTAGTTTTTAAAAATTTTTAATTCTTTTAATGACTTGCTAAAGCATTTGCATTAATTTTTTCAAATTTTAATTCTTTTAATCTCTTCCTAAATCAATCCGATTTGAATCTCTAAACCCCACCCCAAAGAGAGAACAATCAATTCTTGCAAAAATTGGTCTATTTGCTCAGCGCTCTCCAGGCTCTAGTCATTACCACCGAATGACACATTGTTGACTTTTACCAGACCATATTTTTCTATTTTCTACTCCCCAAACAGTCCATAAAAAGTTCAAATCCCCGGATTTCATAACCAAAAAGACGCCTAGTGTAAACACGGCTTTTCCTTTCTCGAATTACTGATTCCGGTGTTTTCCCGTATATCTGTTTGTGCCGGATGTTCGGCGCCGGGTTTTTCGTGGGCTCAAAAACCTGACGGATTGCCACGGTTTTCACGAGATAACGTCTTTTCAATTTATTTAATTCGTAAAATGACTATTTCTAAAGTATTCACCAGCTAAAAATAAAGCCGTGGGACCTCGAAATGAGCTTATAGAGGTCTGAAAAAACTGGGAAATTCTCAGCGTTTGGAATTTATTATGTTTACATCTGGTTAATTCGCAGAGCAGCTAGCCCCAAAGTGTTTAACAGGGTAAAAATAAACCTAATTAGCCGGAAATCATCGCCGCCAAGATCGTATCGACCTAAAAAACATGGGAAAAGATCTAAAATTCTCACGGTTTTCTTACCTACTGCGTCTAAATCT